TGGGAATCAGTCTTTTAAACAAACTAATATAAAGAAAAATAATGTTACAGCACTTGGAAAGCAAGAAAAAAGCTCTTTGTTACCAAATTCAAAGGAAATAAGCATTGGTAAGCATAAAAAGACAAAGAAGCAAAAGCAAATTGAGACTAATGATAAAACAGGAAAAGAAAAGTCATTAACATCGAAGAAAGAAATAAAGAAGAGAAAGGAACTTCCAGTTGCTTTCTTAGGAAAAAGTAATAACCCTAAAATGTTATCAAGGCGCTATAATTTAAATTTAAAGAAATTAAAAGAAAAACTTGCTACTAAAGACATTGAGACTAATGATAAAATAGGAAAAGTAAAGTCATTAACATCAAAGAAAGAAATAGAGAAGAGAAAGGAACTTCCAGTTGCTTCCTCAGGAAAAAGTAATAACCCTAAAATGTTATCAAAGCGCTATAATTTAAATTTAGAGAAATTAAAAAAAAGCCTTGCTGCTAAAGAAATTCTGGCAGAGTCAAAGCCAAAAGCCATCGCAAAAATAAATCCTCTAAGAGAAAGAATGATGTCTAAATTAAAAGCATCCAGATTTAGGTATTTGAATGAAACAATGTATAACAATAATAGCTTGGAATCAAAAAACTATTTCAAAGATGATCCAGATTCATTTAAAGCATATCATGAGGGATACAAACAGCAAATTGCACAGTGGCCATTAAATCCTCTTGATGTTATAATATCATCTTTTACGAAAATGTTAGTGAAGAATGTTAAAAAGTTATCGGTTTAATTCTTAAACTAATATTTTAACATTGTATCATTATTATTACAGGCCGAAAGATTATGTTATTGCAGATTTTGGTTGTGGAGAAGCAAGACTTTCTACTTCGGTCACTCAAAAAGTACATTCCTTTGATTTTATTTCTTTAAACGAAAATGTAACAGCATGTGACATGGCACATACACCTTTATTAACTAATAGTGTACACGTTGTTGTATTCTGTTTGTCACTTATGGGATCTAATCTTAAAGATTATATTATAGAAGCAAATAGAATTCTTAAACAAGAGTAAGTGTTCAAAATACGCAGTATATATCTTGAATGTTATAATTAATTTTCTTAATTTAATCAAAATTAATGTAAAATGTGTTTTTCAGTGGTATTTTAAAAATAGCTGAAGTTGAAAGTCGATTTGACAGCGTGGAAGATTTTATTAAAGTATTAAGTGACTATGGTTTCCAAAATATTTTAAAGGATTTGTCTCACAATTTGTTCTACTTCTTGGATTTCAAAAAGCAAAGAGACATAGGTCGTAAAAGATACAAATTATCTCCTATTACGTTGAA